TACAAATATTTAAAAATAAAAAAAGAGTATAGTTATATCTTTAACTTTTTAAGAGCACCACAAGCACTTTACAGAGCAGTTTAACATGCGGAACAACAAGCTTAAAATCTGATGAATTTATCTGATGGAATTATATCCAGCTTTAACCATTGCACATTTATGTAGATCATAACATTAGCTGCCTTTATATTTACAGAGCACTTCTGGCCTTGTGTTCGCCTCTTCACGGTAAGTCGCTTGCTTTAGTCCTCAGTTGTAAGTCGTTTTGGATAAAAGCGTCTGCTGAATGTGTTTCGGGAGTTTTATCCTGTTGTACCCTCAGACTTTTCTCAAAGTAAGAAGAATCGATCTTAGTTCTGTGAAAATCTTCTTTAATAAAGCATTAATTAATAAAAAAAATGTTTCTTAAAACACTTTTATTTAACTTTTATTTGGCATTCTATCGCCCCTCAAGAACAACTACACCGCTTTACAACGATAGGACAGGAAGAGCTAAATAAACTTATCATTGCATCTAAACCAACAACATGTTTATTAGATCCAATACCCACTAAACTACTGAAAGAAGTGTTACCTGTAGTGGAAGAGCCTCTTCTCAATATTATTAACTCGTCTTTATCTTTAGGTCATGTTCCAAAAATATTCAAGCTGGCAGTAATAAAACCTCTTATTAAGAAACCGCAATTAGATCAAAATAACTTAGCAAATTACAGACCCATTTCAAATCTTCCATTTATGTCTAAAATACTAGAAAAGACTGTGTCCGCTCAATTGTGCTCTTTCCTGCAAGAAAATGAGATATATGAAAAATTTCAGTCAGGATTCAGACCGCATCATAGCACAGAAACTGCGCTAGTTAAAATTACAAATGATTTACTTTTAGCTTCTGACCAAGGCTGTATCTCCATACTAGTTCTACTCGATCTTAGTGCTGCGTTTGACACTATCGATCATAAAATACTCTTGGATCGACTACAAAACTACACTGGTGTTCAGGGACAGGCATTAAGCTGGTTCAGATCGTACTTATCGGACCGTTACCATTTTGTTTGTTTAAATGGGGAAAAATCGAAGATAACGTCAGTAGACTATGGAGTGCCGCAAGGATCGGTGTTAGGCCCTCTGCTATTCTCAATATATATGCTGCCACTTGGTAATATTATAAGAAAACATGGAATTAATTTCCACTGTTATGCTGATGACACTCAATTATATATTTCATCACGACCAGATGAAAACACTAACTCATCAAAATTGACAGAGTGTCTTAAAGATATAAAATGCTGGATGACGTGTAATTTCCTGCTACTAAATCCAGATAAAACGGAGGTATTACTTATTGGTCCAAAAAACTACCCACAAAATCTCTTACAACACAACTTTAATATAGAAGGATGCCCTGTTACTTTATCCTCTACGGTAAAAGACCTGGGTGTTATACTAGACCACAACTTATCTTTCGAAAATCATATTTCATATGTTACAAGAACAGCCTTTTTCCATCTTAGAAACATTGCTAAATTACGTTACATGCTATCTGTTTCTGATGCAGAAAAGTTAGTTCATGCATTCATGACCTCGAGACTAGATTACTGTAATGCTTTATTAGCCGGTTGTCCTGCATCCTCAATAAACAAGCTACAGTTAGTGCAAAATGCAGCCGCTAGAGTTCTTACTAGGTCAAGAAAATATGATCATATAACACCGATTTTATCATCTCTGCACTGGTTACCTATTAAGTTCCGTATCAATTACAAAGTACTACTACTGACCTATAAAGCCCTAAATGGTTTAGCTCCTGTGTATTTAATGGACCTTCTATCGCCCTACAATCCATCGCGTTCTTTAAGATCCCGAAATTCGAGGCTTCTGGTCATTCCTAGGATATCTAAGTCCACTAAAGGAGGGAGGGCGTTCTCACATTTAGCTCCTAAACTCTGTAATAGCCTTCCTGATACTGTTCGTGGCTCAGACTCGCTCTCCCAGTTCTAAACTAGATTAAAGACGCATCTCTTTAGCCAAGCATTTACATAATGCTAACCTTCTATTGTTGAATCAAATCGAATGCATTAATAACAGCAGCTACGCTAATTATTTCCCATCTGCTTTTCTGCTGTTATCTCGGGACGCTTGTCCCGAGGTAAATAGCGTTCGTCAGCTCCAGTTTGTATCCAGCCTCTCACGGAGACTTCAGACGCTCCAACACCTGCGATGAGACGACTCGACGCCTGTGAAGAGACGACTCAACGCCGGCGATATGTTATGCCCTAAATTAATACATGATGATTAACTAACTATATTCTTCTATGTACATTTCTGAAATGCACTTTCTGTAAAGCTGCTTTGAAACAATATGTATTGTGAAAAGCGCTATACAAATAAATTTGAATTGAATTGAATTTTAAATGAGTTCAAAAATGTATTTAACTATCAAGTAGATAACCGCTCACCGTTCGACACTCGGACACATGACACGTTCTGGGCCGAGAGTAGAAAAAGATGAAGGGGAAATGAAAAACAGTGCATTTAAATGAGGACAACATGTCCAAGTGAACAAGCAGAGATTGGTAAGCTTAACCTATGTTTTATTATTATTATAACTGAAAACGCTCTGCTGAAACCTTTTGTCTTTGCATTTGGAGTCTAAATAAAAATGTTCTTCGATTGTGTGCGTGAGCTCCTCACCTTGTTGAACTATAACAGTGATTTTATAATGTCTAAATATAAATCCAAAAGCAAAACATATGAAAAGAACTATATTGGGGAGTGGAAATGGCTAATGTGCCAGTGAGTAATCATCCAACTGATCATTTTCAATTTTATGGTTGATACTGTTGGTTCATGTTTTTTATCTTCTATTTTTCTGCAGTTCAGTAAGTGTCTTCTAACATTCTGCGTATAAACCGATAACATCGCTTCCAGTTCAGGGGCCTCATTTATAAAACTGTGCGTAGAATCCTTACTAAAAGTGTACGTGCGCCCGAAAGCCAAAAATGTCGTACGGCAAAAAATATTCAGACTTATAAAACCGTGCGTACGCCAGAACCTGCGCAGAATTCACTTTATAAATCCCAGTCAGCGGAAGATTGTGCGCACATGCGTCTCCTCCCCGAAACAACCATATATGGAGATTATAACGCCTAGTTTTACTATGCATATCCTCATCTGCATATCATTTGCATATGATTATTCATCCACATGATAACATGTTTAACGGTACAAGACATTAGGAAAATATGAAATACGGATGTGCCGTCACATTACATTAATAAAAATCATTTAGTAGCCCATCCTTCCCTTTTTTTTAAATAAATAAAATAAAATAGTGCAAAATGCATTTCAGAGAAAGTTTTTCCCAATATTTTCCACTGGCCAAATAGTATTTTAATTGATTTATATTTTTAATGGAAACAGATAGACCTTGTTGTGCATTATTTGCACAAAACCATTTTCTCAGACAATCTGCTATCATGATAAGCAATTATCTATGTAGTTAACACATTAAAACACAGACAGCATGCCAGAGGAAAAGTGTTCAAAAGCATCACATCCACAACAAATATTTATATTTATTGAATATAAAAATGGGTCCTAACTTCTCAGTAATGATTTCATGTAGTTTAAGGGTTTAACACCATTAATGAGAATGGCATATTTAATCTAAATGTTTATATCAGAAGTAAAACATAGTTTAAATCATTCATTTATTTATTTAAACTGTTATTGTGAACATGCACTGTATTTATGATGGACTTATAATGAAGATTTACGGTTTTCCTTCATCTGCGTCAGTTTCACTAAACAGCCCAACGCACTCGCCGGCGCGGATATTTAAGAAGGGATGGATATTTGCTTCAAGTGATAGGTTTGGTGAGTGACATTATATTTGTATTATCTTTCTGTATATGTATAATTTTCTTTAGATTTTCTGTCTAAAAGTGACCAAAAAGACATTTAACTCGAGCTCACCATCGGTGTCGCCAAACTGCTCCATCTCCAAAACGTTCGTACGCACGGGTCAGAGTTTGCGTGCAGGTTAGCTATTCCATTCATTACAAAACAATAGTATTTTCACCTGGTTAAGAATGCTGATAATGATAATTCAGGTTGATGCAATTTGATTTATTGGGTGATGTAATAGGATAATTTTGAAGTTTTTCATTTTAAATACCGGTAGTTATTGCTATTTGGGCCAGTTGGTGTCGCCAAAACACATACTCTTCTAAAAGAGTGCGTACGCACGGTCAAGAGCATCCTTACGGTGCGCACTTATTTACGCCAAGTTTTTTTCTTATAAATCCCAATATGTGAGTGGAAAAAATCCGTACGCATATTTCTATGCCCATTTTGTGCATACGCAACGTTTATACATCAGGCCCCAGGACTTTTGTGTGTGCTTCATTAAATATAGAGCATTTTACTCAAGAGGCCTTCAAAGGAGCGAGCAAAGAATAGCATAACCAATGTCCATCACATAAGCAGATTAATATCTCAAAGTTTCTTCTTTTCACTAGCATTTGAACATTACATTTTAATAAAACACCTTAATAAAAATAACTCGATTAGCTAATTACTTTAAATTCCACATATATCACCACCAGTTCGTACCGCTATTAGCCGTTTCTCAGGCAAACAGAGCTTCCTGTTTGTCCATGTGATGTTCGATATAAAGCCATGGGATGATCAAATGTGTCTCGAGCTATAATAGTGTGGATGTGGTCAGGATCGCTTCCAATGTGCAGCGCTTGATTTGACGATGTTAAGCGATTAGTGTAGGATTGGATGCTTCATCTAAAGTTGTCGTAAGTTAACGTTTAGCTGAACAGATGCTGCTGAGTTTAAGTACATTTTATCAGTATTCATGATCTCTGGGAACCAAGCCATGAGCTTGAGGTTGCTAGTGCTGTACTCGGTACATATCAGTACCGTTTTAGAGATTTCTGTAGTTTGTAAGTGAGAAGAGAGATTTACTTTTTGTTCGTATACATCCTTCTGTCTAAACACTGGATTGGTCAGTCAGGCGTCTGAGCTGATACTCAGTAAAGGTTCACTGGACTCTACAGCTGATTCTACAGCTGATTCTACAGGTGATTCTACAGGTGATTCTACAGGTGATCCTACAGGTTCTGGATCCAGAATTATAAGCGGACTCTGATCTCCTACTCCTGGATTAAACAGCGGAGCGACTGATCCAGTGAATCTGGTGCTCATGGTCAGCAGATGTTTCCTCTCTTTGACATTGTAAAATGACAGCTGACCGAGATCATAATCTAACAGAACTCCCAGGCGTTCGGGTCTCGGCGTCAGTGAGAGAGTAACTGGTGGATCAGAGCTGGTGTAAAAGCCATAAGGACCGTCTGAACACAAGAACCAGTAACCGTTTGATTGAGTTAAAGCAGATCTGTCTTTTACACTGAAATTTCCATGTTTCGCCACACCAATAAACCAGTAGTTTTTAGGAGGGTTAGGTGGACGCACCAGCTCAACCTCCCAATAGTGACGTCCAGATGTAAATCTTTGAGCTCCAAATGCACATAATTCATATGGAAATCCCTCTCTAGTGGGTTTATATTCTGCAGCGTCTCTCACTGTTTTATTGTCCTTAGTGACCTTCAGACCTGGATGTAAATGCTCAGGATCAATAGTGATCTGAACTGAGGAAAAATAATAAAACAACAATTATTAATCCTCGTGTGTGAGATCATATTTACACTTAATGTATGTGCATATATAACTGAGATGATGTCATACCTGCATGTTTCCTCAGTTCTTCAATATTTACGTCTCCCACAACAACTAAATAAGAAACAAATAATTAGAGATTTTAGGGAAGGGAAACTACAGCTGTAATTAAGGACATAAAATGAGCATAAATAGTTTAACTTTCATGAATTGTTCATTTCCCATATTGAAGTTGTATGTTTTAATTATATTCACATTATGCTCTGGTAGACATTTATAAGAAACTGCATATATTATTTCTTAAATAGTTCATAAAATATACAGTGAGGTCTAAAAGTCTGAGCCTTTAAAATCTGGAATTAAAAAAATCTAAACAAGACAAAAACTCCTGGAATAGAAGGTCAGATTTTCTTGATTATATTAAAGCACAAGACGCCCTTTATGTTGATACAATTATTTTTTAGGAAAGATGATAGAAATTAAATAAATATGAAGCAGAAGCTTTTGGTTTATTTTTAGCGTGTGGAAAGTAATGACTTCTGGGTCACTTCAGCAGTTGCAGTTCTTAATATATACTTAACCGAGAAGTTCTTTGCAACTTTATGTCTGTACCCTCGTTCCCTAAAGGAGGGAACATAGACGTTACGTCAGAATGACTGATGAATGCGGTCTCGCCCGAGATCCAGTGGGACAACCTCTGCTTGGAGACAGCCTTCCCCTTCTGCTGGCCTCCGTAACAGGCGAGGAGCTGGTCTGAGGTCCTGAAACACTGCGTTCTGTCTACATAAGCGTGGAGGGTGTGTACTGGACAGAGCAGTGCTAGGGCTGGGTCTGCCTCCTCCAGGGGCAGCGCTTGCAAGTTCACCACATGATCCCTGAAAGGAGTGGTGGGAACTTTGGGCACATATCCCGGCCGGTGTCTCCAGATCACGTGAGAGTTAGCCGGCCCGAAATCCAGGCACGCTTCGTCAACTGAAAATGCCCGCAGGTCCCCCACGCTCTTAACTGAAGGAGCGCCGTCTTCAAAGAGAGGAACTTAAGCTCCACTGAGTTCCAATGGAGTTCTCTGCAGTGCAGATAAGACCACTGAGAGATCCCAAGAGGGTATCTGCTGAGGGTGGGCGAATTAAGCCGCCTAGTTCCTCGCAAAAACCTGATGACCAGCTCGTACTTCCCTACTGGCTTAGAGTCAACTAAGTCATGGTGAGCTGAAATAGCAGCCACATAGACCTTGAGGGTGGAAGGAGACAGCCTTTGTTTCAACCCTTGCTGGAGAAAGGAGATCACCGACCCGATCTGACATTTCCAGGGGTCTTCTTGACTAGAAGAACACCAAGTGACAAAGAGGTTCCACTTCAGAGCATAGGAGTGTCGGGTGGACAGGGCCCTAGCTGAAGTGATGGTAGTCACCACTTGAGGTGGTAAAGCTCGGTAGCAGTGAGCACTACCCTTAAGCGCTTTGGCCTGTTGCACTTGCAGGATGGCCATGGCATGCAAAGCAGAAGCGGCCTGGCCCGCAGCTCTGTAAGCCTTGGCCACAAGCACAGTTGGACCGGGTTGCATCGCTCCACTGGGGGTACCCCTGCATACCCTTTGGCCGCCCCGCCATCGAGGGCAGTGAAGGCGGAGGTAGCCCCAGAACGGTTACGGGCAGTCAGAGGAGCCCTCCACGAACTGGTGACCTCCTCATGCACTTCCGGGAAAAACGGAACTGTAGGCGGGCGCTGACGATCAGCGTGTGCCACCCCGAAGAACCAGTCATCCAGCCTCGAGCGCTCGGGGCACGGTGGAGGGTTCCAGTCAAGCCCGATGCTCTCAGCTGCCCGTCAGCTCTGGATCAGACTCGGGCAAAGCTGTCATCTCAGAGGGAGGCAAATCAGCCGAATCCTCATCTCCAGAGGAGTCAAGCCCGCCTTGTGATGCGGTCATCGACATCGGATCATCCGCCGGTGCCACGAATGAAACGCTGGGTCGCTGCAGAGAGGAGCCAGCAATCTCATCCGGAAGCTCCACAGTTTTCGATGCGAGAGAGGGGCATGTGGTCCCAGGAGATGGACTCGTCGGGGAGTCCCACATCGTCACCCTCAGATCACCCTGGCCATCAGCTGAAGTAGCCCTTCACGAGAAGAGGAACTAGATCGGGGTATGGCAGATGGGACTGTACCTCATCTGAGGTCATTGAGTCTCGATCGCAGCGTCGCGATGTTCATACTCCCGCAGCCTTAGCGTGCTGAAAGCCCAGGTATGTGAGACAGCGCTCGTGACTGTCAGACGGAGGCAGAAGACGACCGCACTCAGAACCACACGGGTGAAGTGACATCTTTAAAAAGACGCACCCGTGAAGCTTTTCTAGAGAGAAATGTACCTCTTACAGCAGTGCTGAAGCGCACAGGGGAGATCACAGGCACAGCATGCAAGATCTATTCAGAGATCTGCAGCAGCAAACAAGCTCTTTTCACATCAACACTGAACTGAAGAGGCTTGACTCGTTGAGACTCGAAAATGATCGTATAGCACAGGGATAGGCAACGTCGATCCTGGAGTGCTGCTGTCCTGCAGAGTTTAGCTCCAACCCTGATTTAAACTCGCCTGCCTTTAGCATTAGTAATCCTGAAGACATTGATTAGCTTGCTCAGGTGTGTTTGATTAGGGTTGGAGCTAAACTCCTTATACATAGCGGGGCGGAGCTCGTAATGCAAATTCCGCAGACCAAGGTACTTGTGTACCATTGGCTCGTTTTGTACCACTCAAAGCTGATTGGGCGTTTTCGGGCGAGATCCCATTCGTCAAACGTTCTGACGTAACGTAGAACATGACTGACTGAAAAGGAACAGACAACTACTAATACCTTTTCTGTGCTCCATAGCTCCATGCTCAAAATATAAAATCAGAGAAAATATCATTGGAGGGGTTCATTATCAATCCACAAATACTTAAAAGACAACAAACCGCATTAAATTACACTTCTAACCATTTCAGGCATTCAAGGGATTCCAGCTCATTTGTGTAAAAGTACATATAACTAGTATTCATGCATTTTGTGCATTAGTTGGCATAACAACATTATTTTTCCATTTAAAAGTCTTTCCAGATCGGGTTGCATACAGGTCAAATTATTTTTAAACAAAAATGTCTCTATTGAGTAATCTATCAGTGTTTGCTATAGTTATGATATTTTTATTTTATCAAAAATATCTTAATTTGTGTTCTGAAGATGAACAAAGGTCTTACAGGTTTGGAACGACATGAGGGTGAGTAATTAATGACAGAATTTTCATATTTGGGTGAACTATCTTTATGACATGACTATACTTTAATGGCGTGAATTCATTATACTTACTTTGATCTGCTGTTTTCTTCCCTGCAAAACAGATCAATATTATCATGAGATGAAATGGGACATATAAAGATTGAAGACTGAATTTTTTGAAATCTTTCTTCCAGATTGTACCTGTTCGTTTCTGTCTGTGTCTGTATCTGTACAGGATCAGCCCAGCCAAACCCAAAAGAGCACAGATGAGAAGGGTTAAGAAAAGAGCCTTCCATGGATCTGATGAATCTGAGAAAGGGAAACCAGATCAATCCAAACAACTTCAAAATATATAAATCAATTACAGTAAAGTAGAACAATCATTTAAACAAATTAAGTCAACATAAAAATTCCAATTGCAACCCATTTTGCATTTGCATAATCCAAGATAAAATAATAGATGTAAAAAGTAAGAGGGATTGATGAAATCTATTATGGAAATATATATATATTTATTATAAATTATGTTTATAGCTAATTATAGTTGCACAAAATGTAAATTCAAGGAGGAAAACATTTAAGGTGTTGCGAATTACAGCTTAGAAGAACTCGATGTTGCAACAGAAACTTTTGACTCTCTCTTTTCCAGCACTTTAGACACAGTTGCTCCATTGCGCTTAAAGAAGATTAAAGAAAATAGTCCAACGCCGTGGTACAGCGAGCACACACACACACACACACACACACACACACACACACACACACACACCCGGGCCCTTAAGAGAGCAGCCAGAAACATGGAGCGTAGCTGGAAGAAAACTAAACTAGAGGTATTTCGCATTTCATGGAAAGAGAGCTCGATTGCTTACAGAGAGGCTTTAAAAGCTGCTAGATCTGCTTATTTTTCAACCCTATTAGGAGAAAATAAACACAACCCTAGGTATTCATTTGAAACAGTGGCTAAACTAACGAAAAATAAAATTTCCAAGCAGCACAGCAGTGATGACTTTATGAACTTCTTCACTTATAAGATTGATAATATTAGGGAGAAAATTATAACTATGCAACCGTCCACCACAGTATCGCATCAGGAAGTGCAGTGTAGTCTCCCTG